ATATGCTACCTGCCTGTTAATTAACATGTACAGGGTGCTTTTAAAAGCAAACAAAGGAAACTCCCTTGGCTTGTTTGTTTGGTGTGTTTATGGTCATATATCAAAATATCTCACGCAGTACAACACAATTTTAATTTCCTGTAAGAAGAAAATATTCTTCTGAAGAATGTTCATAGTAATGAAGAGTTTTAATGCAAACATACATCTAAAGTCAAGGAGGGTAAAAGTATTTTAATAAGTTAGTATTTAAGAGATGGAGAACTCAGACTTTCTATGTAGACAGTCCAAAAGTAAAGAATTTACTGCATAAAATTGTCCTTTTTGTCTGTGTGTGAAACTCAGCTCTTAGTCTTAATTTTCCTTCAGTAATAACAACAGAATCTGAAAAATAAATATGTAATTTTACATATTTACAAGATAGAAGGGGCTAAAAAATTCACTGCATTTTAATTATATTATATTTTATTATATTATTCACTGTTTAATTTTATTATACAGCGTTCAAAAAACTTAGTGATGACTATATGTTATAAATAGCTAGGTTAGTTAGATTCACCATTCAGAGAAATAGGATGGTGTACAAAAGATGATCTGCTAGAGTAGAAAGATAAATCTGATCATTAGGTTTCAGTCCTTTTTCCACTGAAATCTAGCAATGTCCCCAGTGTTAGCAAAAAAAGGAGAAAGACATAGTTGTTCCTTGCGATAGACTGCCAGAGGAATTATGTATATCAAGTCTGTGAAAGGCTGCAATGACCATCCTTAGAAAACTCAGACTCCTGAATGAAGGTTGCTATTTGACATATCTGGATATTTGCTGATAAATTTCCTTTTTTTTTTTTTCCAATGGCAGTAATAAAAATCAAACATCCAAATAATGAAAGAATCCAAAGTTACTAATTTACACTAGTGTGTAGTGGTACATCAGTTTATAATTTGTTTCAGAACCAAACAATTAGTTCTTTCTCAGACCCCACATCATTTGCCTTTTCTAAATCAATTGCCTGACAGTAACTGCAGATAAGGTTTTTGCCTGACCTTTATATCCTTCCCAAATATGGTCGCCTCCACGCACTAGTTCTTCATCCCACCTTGGGCCATGAATCTTTCCTTGTGCCCCCAGCTGCAGCTTGTGCAGACTTTGAGGATTCTGACATTATACCATCTTATACTCCTCTTTTCCTTCCGCTAGGTGCCTCTTGAGACACCTCTGCTGTAAGAGGCAACCATGCAACACAGGAGATGCATAGGTAGGGGCAAGATGCACTGGTCAAGTTCTCTTGTGATGGATATTGCATAAATGACCAGAAATCGGTGCCGTTGCTCCATATTCCACAGTTTTACCTGAGGTTGTCCCTGTAAAAGCACAGCAGACCTGTCTATTTCATAGAATGTATTCCTGTAATTGCCTACTGTCAAGAAAGGGACTGTTTTAAAACCTTTGTCTTCTAGTGGATGTCAACTGGATAAACAGCAACAGTTAAGGTCCTTTAGAGCATTTGCTGGGATTGGAGAGAAGGTGGAGGGTGGTGCAACTGGGAGTGGTGAGGAGACTGGCTCTTGGTGTCACTGAATATCAGGTCTTTTGCATACAGCTTATGAGCAGAGTCTCTGCTCCTTCTGATTGTGCTTTCCTGTAACAACAGGTGCAGCAAAAGGACAAGACAAATGCACACCTTGGAGGACTGTAATTTTCAAGTCAGAGGCTGAGAAGAAGTGGGGAGACAAGGTAGGCTGAAGAAATGCAAAAGTATCATGCATGATATAACTCAGAGCAGAAATGCCCTGTGGTTGTGGCATATTGAGTCTGAGAAATGAGTTTTGTAACAGGGTAACAGGTCTTCTGCAGGAGCCAATTCCTACTTGCAGGGAAACATCATAGACAAATCTCAGAGGTTAGTTTCTCTTGGAGGGGCAATCCAGATGTGGAAAAATCATTATGTTTTATTAATGTGTAGTTTTTGTCTTCCCATTGCATCTTTCAAGTATGATACCTCTGAGTCAGACATGAAAGATGATAAGAAAGGCACCTCCCTGAACAGAGCTGCCCATTATCATTTTGTTAAGCTGAAGGGTTGGATGTTCTAAGCTTTTTTTACACTCTTCATTGTCAAGGTGTTGAAACATTTGCAATATGTTTCAAATGGCAAATGTCACCCACTCACCATCAGTTTTTATTTCCTGCTTGGCCTGAGCAGACAGAGGCATAAGCAGAAACTTCAGTTATTGTTTCTGTGTTTCCCTTCTCTCAAGACTTTCACTGCTCAGAAATGCATCAGAAAGCTATTTTTCATAAGCAAATCTTAAAGCATTCTATCACCTCTTTATATTTTTTTGTCTGTCTCATTGTGAATTGAGTGTAGAGAAATGCTTTGGGTTTATCTCAAATTAGAAATATGTGTCTTGAGCAGAGTTGGTGAGAATAATATTAAAAACAAACAAAAAACCCAAAAACTCAAAGAGCTGTTTCATGATGTAACAAGATGTCCAAACTCTGAGGAAATAGCTTATTTTTTTAAAAGTCTAAGATGAATACTGATTTGAAAGCCCAGTCTCAAAATCATGCCCCAGTTTGAATGTCTTTAAAGCTATTATTAAAAGCAGTATCTTAACATCAGCAATACTGAATTATAAATGGTTAGTCAAACAGGATTTTCCACATTAATTTGTTTCTTTTACGAAGTATCATTTTGGATGTTGGTTAATTTCCCCTGTTACTTTTAAGGGTTTTCATTATACAAAGAGAAAAAAAAAAAGAGTTTAAGAAAATTGATTGCATAAAATAGAAAGGAATAAGCAAGAGGCAGAAAATGAGAGAAGAGTACAATGGGCCGAAGGAATCATATTGCTCTTAAACATATCTGTAAAGGGACCTGAGGTTTGCCTAATCATTCTGTGCACCAGCACTCCCCCAGCACATATATATGTAACAGGGGGTGGTGTGCATGTCACATAAAGTACATACATATGGTGGTGTATATAGTGCATGTAGCTAAAACAAAACATCCGCAGTACTATACCACTATTATCATATATCATGAAACAGCTAACATTTTCCTGGGAACATGCGACTGGAAAAGGAAGTCATATAAGATAAAAAAGTTGGAAGAATATCAGCTCTTCATATTGGCATTCAGATGCTGGTGTTGCACATGCCTCTTCCCTGTGTAGCACTATGCATGTCAGCAGTATTACTTGGGAAACCACGGGCTGCTCCTTCTGAGCAGGGGCAGATTTGTCTCTTGGTGTGCTGGGAAATCCCTGGCTTTGGAGGCATGGCACCAGAGCACAGGCTCTCATCTGGTCCCCGGTGCCCACCTCCAACAGTGCCCGGGCATGCGTGGCAGCTTGAACAATGTGCAACTTTCACTCAGTGTGACAGCATCTGACTACTGTGTCTGTCCTGAAAGTCAGGCTGTGCTGACCTGGTGCTGTAAAATGTGCATATAAAAGGCATCCCTGGGACTGCCAGGGCAGTTAGTCTGACCGTAGCAGGGACATCCATGTATTATAGGCATCTCGCTAAAGCTACTTCTTGCACCCAGAAAAGATTTACAGGTGAAAAACAACACCAAGACAGTTAGCCTGAGGAAATTAGGGTTGAAGTGGCCCTTTGAGTCAGGTAAGATTGCTTTCTCTTTGTTTTTAAAAAACAAGTGGACCAAGTCATCTCAAAACACAAATACCTGCAGCCTTGTTTTGTAATAAAATCAACATTTTCAATGGTGAGACTAAGAGAAGCTTTATGAAATACACAGCATCAAATCAGTCTTTCATTTCCATCAGCAAACATAACATTTTGTCAAGAACCACCAATTTTTTGAGGACTTTCCAAATGTAGCCCAAGCTCGGGTACCTTGCTAAATTGCATGTATCAGTAACAAATCTTTACTTGGCTGTGTTGTGAGCCAGGTTATGAACAAAAGTGCATATAAAGTATCTGACATTGTGACGGCAACAATTTAAATATATTTATATATATATATATATACACACATACTTTTCCCGAGAGCCAGTCCCACCTTGTGACTTGATGGAAAATGGTTGTGGTAGTGTTAATTTAGGTTTTCTCAGACTTTTTTATTATCAGGGAGCAATCTGCAGAACTTTAGAAATGTAAGGTGTCTTGTCAGGACACATCATTTCCCGAAGGATGGAGATATTGGAACAAATGGAATCCTATTTCCTGATATTTCTGAACTGCAGCATGCTGCTGTGGGAAACCTGCTCGCAAGGAGCCCGGAAGAAGAACGGAGATGAGGGCCAAAGACGGAGGTAGAGGAGAGCCGTTTAGTAGGTTGAAGGCCAGAGGAGCCTGGCAGGGTGCTGAGGAGGCTGGCAGGTGGGCTGGGAAAGGAGGAGCAGGCGCAGGCATCACCGCCACTTTTCCCCTCGACCAAGCATTTGTATTTTTTCTCCAAAAGAGCTCTTTTTCGGTGTCACATGGCTTAGGTGAAACTTTCCTTGAAGTCCTTCAGTCAAGTCAGCCTGCGGCGCCACAGCGAACGCGAGCCCAGAAGCCGCAGCATACAGAGAAAACCCACGCGAAGGGCACGTTTACCCCCCAAAAGCCCTGATTTTTTGGCGGGCGGGAGAAGGGGGTGTCCAAGGCATCGGTGCGCGGGAAATGGGGCTGCAGATGCAGGCTGAGCCGAAGGATGGAGCGGGAGAGAAGGGAGAGGGAGGAAGCGCGACCCGAGGCGGAGGGGCCGCTCCGGGGGGGACCCGCCGTCGCCCCGCGCTGCCTTCTGGCTGTGGGCGGGGTGTCGCCGCCCTTGGGCCGCCGCCGGGGCGGGCCGGGCCGGGCCGGGGGGATGGCGGGGGAGGAGGAGGAGGAGGAAGGGGGGAGCGGGGGTGTCATGCCGAGAGCTCGCGTCGCAGCCCGGCAGGCCGCGGCCCGACCCGCACCCCGGGGCGCAGCCCTCCGCCGCTCCCCCAGGCAAGCGGCCCCGCTCCCCGCCGGGCCCGGGGCACCCGCGCCCCGGCAGCAGCCAGCCGCGTCCCGAACGGGCGGAGGGAAGGGGGGAAGGAGAGCGGAGCCCTCTCCGCCGCTCAGAGGAAGGGGAGGGAATGGGGAAAGTTTAGCGGAGGGTGTTTGAATCGGGAGTTATCCCTAAAGAGCCTTTCCCCTGATCTGATCCAGAGGGCAGCGCTGGGAGGAGGGGGAGGCGGCGACGAGCAGCCCTGCAACATCTGTAAAACTTGAAGGAGGCGGTGGAGAGGAGCGCGCGAGACGGAGAAAAGAGAGAGGGACAACTTTTCCGACACGTGAGTACCTCGGCGCGATGTGTTTGTTCCCCTCCTTCGGTGGGTGCGCCGAGCCAAAACAATGCGGGGCGGTGGCGGGGCTGGAGGGGACGGGCGGCACGGGACGGGACGGGACGGAGGGGTTCCCCCTTCGCTACCAAAACTGGTACCAGGCGGTAGATTTGGGGATACTTTTTTTTTTTTCTTTTGCTCCCTCTCTTCTTTTTCTTCTTTTTCTCCTCCCCTCTGCTCTTTTTGTTGAACCAAATCAGAAATGTCAGTCAGTGCGAGTGAGTCAGAAGGGATCAGATTACAAGATCACTGAAACTGATGTCGGACCCGCGCACACACACCCCCACACGGAGGCAGAGGCGCGGGCTGCTCCCCGCGGGAGGCGGGCAGGGATAAAACAACCAGCACCAACACCCGCCGGCCCTCCTCTGCCGCCCCCGTCCCGCCTGTGTCCCGTCCCGTCCCGTCCCCCTGCCCCGCGGGATGCCCGCCGGCCGCGGCGGGGGCCGGCCCCGCTAGCCGCGGCGGCGGCGGAGCGGCGCGGGGACGAGCCGGCGGCCCCGGCCCTCGCCCATGGGCAGTGCGGGGGCTCGGCGGCAGCGGCGGCAGGTACGTACCCACTTGGGCGAGAAGTTCTTTGTTCCCCGGCTCTACTCCGGGCCACTTTCTTGTCGTCTCCCAGCGCTCCGGCCCCGCTCCCGGCCCGCTTCCCGCTTCCCTAACTTGGAGGCGGGGGTCGGGGGGGACCGAGGTGTCTAACCCCCAAAATGGCTGTCACGGAGCGCGGGAGCCGAGGGCGCGGGGTGCGGGGCGAGGCGAGGGCAGTCCCCGCTCCGAGCCGGGCTCGGCCGGGCACGTCCCGCGGCAGAGCTGCCGATGTGCGGGCGACAGCTGCTGTTTTATTTCCACCCCCTTCTTTCTCCTCGCCCCTACTCCCTGAGCGACTCCCGGGGGTTTTCACGCCCGTGCGGCGGGAGGCCGGCACAAACTTCGCAGGGGGAAAGGCGAGAGGAGCGGGGGCGAATCCGCTGTCACATCTGGCGGGGCGGAGGGGCGCCCGGGGGTCGTCGTTCCCTGCCGGCTGCTCCCTGCGAGGAAGGGGACGGTCGGGTCCCGGAGGGTGGCGCGGGGGTGCCGGCGGCTCTGTGAGCAGCGGCTCGGCCGCTCCGCGCCGCCCTGGCGCGGGGTCAGGCGGGAGCGGGGCGGCGGGACGGGCCCGGCCGAGGCCGGGCGGGAGGAGCGGCGCGGCCGCCCCGCGGGAGCGCCTCGGAGCCGCCCCGGGCCGGCACCGCGGCCCGGCCGTGCACCGCCCAACTTTGCAGGGTGGGAGCGCGGCGTGCCCGCCGCGGTTCCGATTGTCCCGTGAAGTCGGTGGGTGTTGGCACAATTCCCGCGCCTTCGGACGGGCCCGCCGGCTCGCAGCTGCTAGCGCCCGCTCCCCAACCCGCGCACCACGTGAAGAGAAAAGGTAAAAGGAAACACACGCCCCTCGCTCCCCATCTCACTCCCCAGTTTTGTTTTTAACCCTCTGGTGCGTAGTTTTTATCCGATCCTGCGGGTACGGTGTCCGTGGCCTTCTGCCAGTTTGTATGTAGATACATTTATGTAAAACATTTTCTCCCAGCTCCTTGCCAGCTGTTCCACATTTTCCAGCTGCCACTTCAGTTTGAAATGATGGACTGTACTCATCTCAAAGAGCCTTTTAGTCAGAGGTACGGATAGCTGTCTGTTTGATACACAGTGTCACGTTTTAGAGGCTACTTCACTAAAAGAACATTAAGTAGCAACTCACAGCAAAATGCTCCTCTTCGTCGCACCCTTGCTACTTCCCGCTTCATTTGCAAGCCTCAATAAACATGATTTTTTAAGCTTCAGCGTGCAGACTTCGTTTCTTTTGTGTGCGTGCTACAGAAAAACTTGGAAGCGAAATTTTCCAGAGGCCTTGAGACATGTGGCTGATTAAACCAAGAAACATTTTTAGGAGGGCACGGCTGCCTCTCTGTCTCTCTGTACTGTAGGTATCTGTTTTGAAATCGTTTAAGTCACTGGAATAGTGAGAAATCACTATGTTTCTCTGTGTTCCAAAATTGGTTTTGGTGTGGTGTTCAAAGAGATTATGGATTGAAATGTGCCAGAACTGGCCTTAAGTAGTTTGAATATTTGTTCAATTGCATTGTAATTTGGAGAGGTGCCTCACTGATTGATTCCTATAATTATTTCATTTAGGTCCTTTATTAAAAATTGATAATGATCTGACAGTTTCTTAATTATATATGTCATGATTATTTTGAAGGAAGATGAATGCAGTGTTTTAAAAGTAAAGTAACCCAAAAATGTAAAAATTGCCATCTTCACACCACTGTATTTCAGTCATGGAAATATATATTAAAAGTAATGGTGAATGAGTTTAGCAATGTAAACTGTACGCAGCCTCTTGAGAGTTTGTTTATATAAGGAAGGTTTGGCTATAACTAGTTAGTATGTAAATACTTTCAGCTTTGTGTATAGCCCAATTCTAAAAGCATAAATAATAGTAACTATGAGAGGAGGCTATTTTAAGGACAGGGAATTATTTCTTTAAAAGCAGGATTATGTGATTTTGAATGAGTAGGAAGAATGAGTAAGAAAAGGACTCTCTCCGTGTATGTGTATTCTTTTAAGTAGCAGTGGAAGCAAAACTGTGGCTTAAGGTGCCCAAATGAATGCAGCCTTGCATTCTGGTAATAGCATATGGTTTTCAGCAGGACATGCTGTTTTCCATAGCTTTTCTGTAGACTACTGCAAAACAAAGACATCACCTGCATTTTCCTGCATAAACAGAGTAACATTTTTGGCTTGAGAAGGTGTGCAGTGGCCAAGAAAGAGTTATTACTGCTATACGTAATCATCAGTTGTAAAAGATTGTTAGTTTTCAAACAGAAAAACAGTTTGTAGCTAAGAAATTAAAGTATCAATGGCTATAAATGATTTTTTTTTTTTCTGAATAGTGTTGGAAAAACCAAAATACTCAAGTTTGGAGACATCATTATAATTTGTTCATCTTGCAGATTACTCGAATTTTTAACAAGATTAATGTATGCACTGATAGTGACCCATGAAAGTTTCAGTTACACTTCCTGCCTCGTTTTGGGGAAAGCTATTCAATTACCTGCACTCCTGTAGTGTATTTGAATTCTAGTCTGCATATTAGAGGAAGGAATGGCATATTTTTATGTTGCAGAGTGTTAGTGAAAAGTTAGTCATCTCTGCCTGATAAATAAGGAATTTGAGGGCTATTAAAGCAGGGTTTATTTGAATTTATGGAAGGAGGCATTTTAATGATCAGTGTTGTGTGTGTTCACCTATATGGAGACAGAAATGTACAAAGAAAAAGCAAACTTGAAGGAAAAGTGAATCAACGAGTCATGAAATCCTCAGGAAAACCTTAGTAGTGGAATGTTAATGCTTTTAGACTATAGATAGATTACCTTAAAAGTCAGGCTTTTCTTCTTTATGCAATTGTTGTAAATCCCTAGCTAAAGAATACTTTGAAGAAAGCTTTAGTTTTTCTGGCACTCATATTCTGTAGTAATTCTGGTTGTTTTGGAAGATTCAAGATATTTTCTGCCAACTTGCAGTTAGGCAATTAAAATGCTAAAATGGCTACAGAGGAAGCTTTTTATTTAAGAAAAGGTTCAGCTGTAATCATGATTTCAAGTTGTCTTTTAACCACAGGTTTTATAGACATCCTCCCTTTAGACTCTGTCATTTTTATAAGGGAATTGATTTGTTATACTTTAAAATCAAATAAAATGAGACAGAATAAACAAAAATAGGGCATGGGTGCTGCTGCAAACTTTTCAAGTTCTTTCAGTGCATTTTTCATCTTTACTTTTATTTGATAGGTCTGTGAAATAGAGCTGTAGACTGGCAGACTTTAAATGAAATTTCACACTTTGATGATTTTTTTTAAACTTTGATATATTGACAGCAAAAGGAGCTGCAAAGCTTTTATATAACTTGAGCAGTAACGCCAAGCAGCAGTCAAACGTCTCTATGCATTTGTGTTTAACTGCAGAAGAAAAACATGTCCATGGGCAGTAGAGGGTTCTTATCAACTCCCTAATCCCAGATCCCAGCAAACCTTGAGGGCATGCCTCAGATCTTGCTGAAATCATTGTAGACTCTCACAGTTTGCAGATTAAATATGCTATGTGTTCCTGGCTCCAACAACAGTTTTATGAGCTCACTAAGCTTCCTGTTTTAAGATCCTTTTCTGAAGTTTTTAGGAGCTGCTAAGGGCAATGCTGTCTATGGCAAGTGGTACTTGTTAATTTAGGGACACTTTAGGTATTTCATTCTGTCTGTAAAAAGAGCCAAAATTGCTATTTTCAAATTAGAAGTCGAGTTGCATCGAAAAAAAGGAGCTCCTTTAAAGAGGGTTTCTGTTGTTTTAATGTGTTTGTCAGTACACAAGGTGACAAAGTTTATAAGAGGCTTGATTTGTTTTATGGGGCTCTTTAAAAGAGACTTTTTCAGTTGTAATTCTAAGCACAATGCCGCTTTTAGTACATAATTTCTGAGCCTCTTTTAACCAATTGTGCTTGTAGCAGCTCATTAAACATACCTTTGAAGTTCTTGTTCTCCTTTATGTCTCAAAGAAGGGAAAATATATTCTGCCAAGAATGAATTTCAGTGAATCAGGTGGTTAACCCTGGGATTTGTTGACCCTTCTGAACGTATGGCATTACCCCTCCCATTCAGAGTCCGGTCTTTTCTAGGTGCTAAATAGTTAACTCTTATATTTTATTCACTGTAATCATGTTTATGTATTCGCTGTAATAGTTTTAATTAAAAAGGAAAATACTTATTGTCCAACAACATGTGTCATATTATTCCCGAGAGAACTTGAGCCAATTTTGTGCTTAAAGGTTATTCAGTGAATGAAATTTTGAAAGCCCATTTGTCAAGGTACTGCACGGTTTCTGTTAGTTTTCAACCCCCAAATTCATTGTCCGCATGGCCCAGTC